CGAGAAACTGCCTCGTAGTCCCAAAGTAAATATGCAGTAGGTAATTGAAGGAAACACGAACTTTCAGCAAGAATCTTACAGTTAAAGATTTAATTCAAATCAAGGAAAACATGTAATTCAACTAAGCATGTTGCACAAATTGTAAGTAAGAGTTAAGGCACGTAGACATGCGATACTAGGCTAAACATGATCACTACATATGCTAAAGCAACTTAGTTAATGTATTTTAAAAGAAGACAACTCAGTTAAGGAAATTCAAAAGATGACAAATCATCAAGAACCAGATTTTCCATATTCAGCCCGTGTAGGCACTCGTCACCTCGCGTACACAGCGCTCACATATCACAACTTATCACAAATTATTACAACAGTACCAAATCCTAAGGGCATTTTCCCCACACAAAATTAGAAAAGTCACTTACCTTAAATCTCGCTCAATCAATCGGTAAGAATGCCTTTCCCTCGCCTTTCCGACTCCGATCGGCTCGAATCTAGCCAAAATAATTTTATACTATAAATATAACTACAAGAAACTAATTTAAATATTGAAACTACGACTTTAGCAAAGAATAAAAAATTCGGCCTAAAAAGTCGACCCGGGTCCACGTCTCGGAATCGGGTAAAAGTCACAAAATACGAACACTCATTCGATATCGAGTTCACCCATACCAAAATTATCAAAATCCGACACCAAATCACCACTCAATTCCTCAAATCAACTCTCCAATCCCTTAGCCTCTAACTCCCACATTCCACCTTAAACACACACAATCTAGGTGGAAAAATTAATAGGGAAACAAAATTATTAATAAAAAATAAGCACAAGAGACTTACCTCAAGAAATCCCTCGAAAATGCTCTCAACAATCGCCCTAGACCGAGTTTGCAAAGTCCAAAATGACAAAACTCACGAAGCCTTTCGGTTTTAAACACTGCCCAGGCTTTTCGCACATGCGGTCAATTATCCGCACCTGTGGAACTGCTTCTGCGGCCCGTGATCCGCTTCTGCGGAATAAGCTCTTGGCACCCATTCCGCTTCTGCGGTCCAAGTCCCGCTTCTGCAGGTGCGCATTTGCGCAAACACGTCCGCTTCTGCGGCCAGGCCTTCCCACACTCGTCCGCTTCTGTGACTCCGCTTTTGCGGCCTTCACACCTCATATGCGACCACTAGCCAATTCCCCTAGCCCCGCACCTGCGTCCCATTGCTCGCTTCTGCGGGTTCTCACCTCTGGTCAACCTTGCGCAGGTGCGATTACACCAGAACCAGCCCAGCACCAGAAAATCTTTTAAGTCCAAAAATGATCCGTTAACCATCCGAAACTCACCCGAGGCCCCCGGACCTCAACCAAATATACCAACAAGTCCTAAAACATCATACAAACTTAGTCGATCCTTTGAATCACATCAAACAATGCTAAAAATACGAATTACACATCGATTCAAACCTAATGAACTTCAAGGTTTCAAACTTCTACGTCCGACACCGAAACCTATCAAATCAAGTCCGATTGACCTCAAATTTTGCACACAAGTCATAATTGACATTATGGACCTATTCCAACTTTCGAAATCGGAATCCGACCCCGTTATCAAAAAGTCCACTCCCGGCCAATCTTCTAAAAAATAATCCCATTTTCTAACTTTCGCCAATTGACGCTAAAATGACCTACGGACCTCCGATTCAACATCCGAACACGCATCTAAGACCAAAATCACCCTACTGAGCTATTGGAACCGTCTAAACTCCATTCCGGAATCGTCTTCACATAATTCGAACTACGGTCGATTCCTACGACTTAAACTTCCATTTTAAGGACCATGTGTCCCATTTCACTCCGAAATCAAAGACAAATCCTCCCGGCAAGTCACAAAACCCAAAAATAAAATAGAGGGAACAATAAATAGGGGTTCGGGGCTAATACTCTCAAAACGATCGGTCAGGTCGTTACATATTTCTACTTGAAAAATAAATGAGAGGGGCAACAACAAATATTATTATAGAGTGATAAATATTTCTTAATACTTAACTAGAGATCTTGAATTTAAATTTTAAATATAAAATCGGATAAATAAAATTTTCTAACACAAATTATAATTTAATCCGATTATAATAAGAGGGGCAATACGAAGTGGGGGGCATTGTTGACCTATACTAAAATGTGTCAGTCTTTGAGAAGAGAAGTGACGTGTCGACTTATTTTATCTTGGTCTTTGTCAATCACAATCCAATTATCAATAACGCATACTGTAGCTTTTTTTCAGTTTGTAATCTGTAAATCATGACGTCATGCTTATCACCTCATGATGCTACATTTATTTTAGGATTTACATTTAAAATGGCAAAATAAAATAGTTTTAATATTTGCAAAAATTATTTGTTACGAAATCTTTTATTGAGATTTATAAACTCAAGATTTTCGAAACCGTAAAATACACTTTACTATCTTGAGCTCTAAGGGGTCATTTGGCTGGGAACAAGTTATTCTAGAATTAATATATAATTCCGGGATTTAGTTTTTTCATTCTTCCATAAGGATAAAAAAATATTACAATCCCGGAATAACTAATCTCGAGATTAGTTATACCGTAATTTTTTTCCAACCAAACATGAATAAACTCATTTCAAATTTAATTACGGAATTAATTATCATTTATGCCTCGTACCCAAGGGTTGGAGAAAAAAAATACAATATTCATCTTTTGAATGATAACGATAACCCCTTTAACCGAAAATAACTCACCTGGAAAATATAATAAGTCAAAACGATCGTATGTGACCAAAATCATTTCCCTAAGCAAGTAAACCAATTAAGAAGTCATCCCAAATTGGTAACAGCAGCCAAGGTTTCCACACTCCAAAAAAATCCAATTGCTAACGCCTAAATTTGTTATATATTAGCAGCAAATTACTAAAAAAATTGTACCTGGTTTATTTTTCAGAATTTAGTAACGAATTGCCAAGCAAAATTTTACTAACTAAATAATTTAGTTGGTAAATATAGTGGAAAAAAATAAAGCATTGTTTACTAACAAATTAGTGACAAATTACCAACCAACTATTTACTAATAGAAGGATTTGTTGCTAATTTTGCCAACCAATTTAATATGTGTTAGTAAATTACTAAACGATTGGGAAATCTTTACCAACAAATTAAGATTGTGGTTTGTAAATTATTAACAGAAAAATAATTAGTTTATAATATTACATACAGTGCATAATTTGTTAGTAATTACTACCGACTGAGCCTAACTCCGTTGGTATATTACCGACTATTGAAACAGTTGGTAAATTGCCAACTATTGTTGAAACTGTTGGTAAATTTAACGATGGATACTAAATTAATTGATATTTTCTAATGGATCTAGCACATAGTGATAAATTTATCAATATATATCATGAGTCGCATACTCCAATATTGTATGTGCACAAGTACGAATCCTTTTTTATGAACTATATATTTTTGAGTCACACTCCATCTGTTATTTATAAAAATAACTTGTTGATCGAAAATTTTGACCTGGTGTTTTTACTTAATTATGGATTTGATGATTTTGGATTAAAAAATCTTTAAGAAAACAAGAAAAAGATAATAATGCTTTTTTCCTTTGAGTTAATATTTTAAATTTCATCAGAAAATATTATATAAGAGAGTTATCGTTCCCATTTAAAAGATGAAATATATATTATTTTCCAATCTTTAAAGATTAAAGGGATAAAGTAGATTTAGCATCACTAGACGATGCCAACTTATAACTTTCAAAAAACTTTGTTTCAAAACCAATGGAAGGAAGTCTATATATTTTCTTCAACCAACTCATCGGTCAAGGTTTTTGTCCTCAAAATAAATATTCCTACTCAACAAAGGGGCCTTTCTATTTTTCTTGACACTTAATAATGAAGGGAATAAAACAAAAAATCAACTCCATGCTTGGTTTGATTAGAGATGAGCAGAAGAAGATATAATATTAATTAGGAAGTAAATATAAATATGTGCATATATCTTTCTTGTGTGTTATGTGTATGTGTGATGACCTTCTAAACAATTATCAGAACGTTCTTTACTAATTCGCTTTCTTGCAAATTAATTTGTTTTATTAAAAATGCTTCTAGAAAAGTTTCAAATTGCCCTCTGATGTGAGGTAATATTAACTTGTTTTTTTAATTTAAAAAGCACACTCTCCTAATTTTCTTTCTAAATTTTGTTTATCGACTGTATATAATTATTTTTTCACAGTAGACAGGATTTGCTTCACACTGTTTACCATTTTCAATTTCTAGTCAAACTATAAGACTTATTTTAATAAAAGAATTTTTGAACAACAAAAGGTAATAAGATTTCCTTCATTGTATTTTTTTCATAATGGTCAAATAAACCCCTCGCCCAAACTCAAAACCCTTCATGTTTTGGGACTTAGGCATCGCCCCACGTTAAGTACAACGTCTCCGTTCACACTCCACTCTTTAAAATACTGTTTAGTAATTAATTAGTACTACTGTAAGTAGCATGAAAGATGTTGGATTTGACAAATAGGAAAAAAGAGTTACTTGAAAAGAGATATTCAGATATATATATGTCTAATTGATATTTTATGCGTGTAGCCGGAAGCTAGACGGTTAAGAAAGAAAAACTTGATAGTGCAAATCAATTCGTTGCCATTAATTAATAACTTGATGAAAAAGATATATGATATACGTAAATTTTTAACTTGTCAAGGATAACCTTAGATAAAGACCCAACATACAATAAAAGCAGAGCTATACCATTTCTCCATTGCTCTATTATGAACATATTTTTTCGCTTATAAACAGAATATTAGTTATACTACGTTATCCTAAGTTATACCCCAATTAGGGTAAAAACTTACCCCAATAATATAATGTCCATTATTCTTAACTATTTCCCTACCATTTCTTCTTCTTCACTAGACCAACTAGTGTTGCTATATATTGACGTTCAACTTCCTTTGATCCTCCATTCGAATTTTCAATATCTTCTCCTTTCTATTGATCAGTTGAGTTTGTGTTGTCGAAAAAATTCAAAGAGTTTCAGAGTAGGCATTATATCCTAGAGATATAGGAAATTACTGTTTTAATTTCATTTAAATTCTCTTCCACGGTTTTACTGCATTTGATTATTGTTGCTATTTTGCATCAATGGCGTACTTCACCACTACTATGGTCATGATTTGGTTAGCCGGCATTTTATGCCGAGGAGGATGCCAACAAATAACACAGCCTCCTAATGCAATAGTAGCATTAGATGGATCAGGCAATTATACGACAATAATGGCTGCAGTCTCGGCAGCTCCAAACAATAGCATTGCAAAATACTACATCCAAATAAAAGAAGGAACCTACAACGAGTATGTTCAAATCGAAGAATGGAAAATAAATATAGTTCTCATCGGAGACGGAATGGACAAAACCATAATATCAGGGAATAAAAGCTATGGAGGTGGCATCCGGACATATGACAGTGCTACCGTAGGTAATTAAGCTGATCGTTCTTAATTTACTCCGATTAATCAGATCACTCGCTTTAACAATAAAAAGAAATTCGTAATTTTTTAAGTATTACGTTGCATCCAATTACAGTATTTGTATCATTGATCTGATGACTGTTTAATTTGGTTTCTCTTTCAAGGGGTGAATGGGCAAGGATTCATGGCGCAAGACATCACTTTTCGAAACATTGCTGGAGCTCAGATGCAACAGGCAGTAGCTTTAAGAGCAACTGCTGAATTATGCACCTTGTATAGGTGTAAATTCGACAGTTTTCAGGACACCTTATACGCACACTTTGGCAAGCAGTTCTACAGGGAGTGCACAATTTTGGGCACCATTGACTTTATATGTGGCGATGCTGCTGCGGTGTTCCAGAATTGTTTAATTGAAGCACGTATGCCACTTCCTGGCCAATATATTACCATCACAGCACAATAGAAAAATATTGAGAATGAAGCAACGGGACTACTCGTGTTGCAAAATTGCACGTTAAAATTAGCAACTCCAAATGCGGGTAATGTGACTATGTATTTAGGGCGACCATGGGGTGACTTTTCAAGTACTGTGATCATGCAGAGTTACATAGACCTATTGATAAATCCAAAAGGCTGGATAGAGTTTCAGGGAGAGCCCCTAGTTCGCCCATTCTATATGGAATTCAAAAATAGAGGACCCGGTGCAAACACAACTGGACGTGTGACGTGGGCGCGTGTCACTAATGATCCTAATGTCGCATCATGTTTCACTGTCAGGAATTTTATCCAGGGTGATAAATGGATACCCTCCACAGTCCCACATTACTTAGATCTGCTATGAATGCAAATGATACTGTAATCCACGATTTCTGCTAGTTATAGCAGTATAGTATTTGTTAGTAGTATTAATATGGCTTGCAATTTTTTCCTCAGCAAAATATGTAGTAAAATGTTAAAGACTCATGTTTTTCATAACGTTCTGACCACATAAAATGATACTGATTGTAGAATTTGTGTCTTGCTAATTGGAACTTCTTATAGACATTTGCTATTTTCCTTTGTGATTTGTATAGTGTCTTTGTAATACAGGCACCTACAATCTTGATTTTTAAAATTTCCAATGAGACAAGTGAGGCTTGCTCAGTTGGTAAAAGCACTTCTACCCATGACCGTTAGGTCCTGAGTTTGAGTCACGCTGGATGGGAAGTGTGGAAACACTATAGATCCTCCTAAATTGGGAGAGATTTTTTTTAAAAAAATCTCCAATGAGGTAGCAGCAGAGGCGGACCCAAGATTTGAAGGTAACGGGACACAACTATTTTTAATATAAACATATTTTTGTTTTAATCATTTGATATTAGTATCCATAGGACCGACTAATTCGAATTAGCACGGTGTAGGGATCATTAATGGGAAACGCTCCCTACTTGGAATTACTTCATTCTTAAGGGTTTAATGTAGACATGCCAATTACGAACTACAAAATTTGGTCTGCAACCCTTGGAAAGCCTAATTATTGTGACAATTTATGAGCAAAGCATAAGATTCAAACATATTATCAAATATCATTAATTTTGTGCTAATATTGTTTGACTGAAAATATAACTCTTGGTTCAAATAATTAAATTTATGTGATTATGGGTTAAACTTAGTTAACAATAATATTTCTAGATGTAACTTCCGAGAGTGTGATAAACGTCAGATAGATCTGGTCCAATAATGATAATAGCATGCAATAACTATTCCAAAAAGTAAGAGTAATAATGTAGCATTTAATAGCAATGAATAACTATAAATGACACTTAAGTAAATAGGAGGAATGATTCACCCAATAAAGGATGAACTAGATGGTTGTTCCTTCTAACAATGATGAGTGACAGACAAATCATTGAATGTTCGAATTATTCTCAGATCTGATGAAAAAGTATGGAATAATATCGACAAGAATCTTAGTGAAAATGTGATGTTTGTATCTTAGTAAGAGAGAGAGAGAATCTTTTTGTCAGAGTGCGTTCTTACAAATAAATATCACATGCCTCATATCATTGTCTTTAAACCCTAATAGTACAAGTGTAGAGAATATCCACTAAAATTTTCTCTTTAATGTCCTATTTCGAAAACTAGTTGTTACAGCTTCATCAACGGTGCTCTACCTCGACCATTATTGACATCTCGACCACGACTCTCGTCGACTCTTCGGTTATGAGTCTTGCTGATTTCTGGTCCACCTCGACTAACGACGGCTCGAGAATTCTTTCTTTGGTGTTATCTTATCTTAAATATTCTAGGGCAGATTTTGACCCATACAATTAGTCTCTCCCCTTATTGAGGCCGGCTTCAGGCAGGCTTGATGAGCGGATTCTGTTCATTTGCGGTCGAAACGTCTGGACGAGCTGATCGGGTCGCGATGATTGAGGCGAGCTGGCAACGTGGCCCTTTGTGAGCCACAAATTTTGGAGTTGTGCTGTCCATGAATCAAGGTGACGTCACGACCTCGTGCGTCAGCATGACGCATATTCCCGATGCATTACTTCATTTTGCGTGGGATTCCGGATTGGTCATGCCGCTTCGATTCCGATGCCAGGTAATGATGAGCCAATTTTTCGATTTTGACGCCTGAATTCCTATAAATAGGGATGTGAGGGTGTAATCCCAAACTTTACAAAGTTCCTGCATCGAAACCCTATATCTTCTTATTCCTTTTCCATTGTTGTGCATCTTTTCCCTTAGTTCTAGTGATCCTTATCGTTTTTAGTCCTCCATTGTTTGATACCTTCCTCTCTTTCGTTGAAAACATGTCTAATGTACCTTCTGAGTCCGGCGAGGGAAGTGACCCGGTCCCTCTAGCGATAGTTTCTCCTCCTCATGCAGAGAGCGTTCCCACTGCTATTGAGGACAGGAGCTTCCCGATGATGGATGAGATAGTTCCTTGTAACCCCGATGACAGGTCTAATTCTCAAAATTGCCTGAAGCCGAACCCGGAACCTTTAAGTTGGCGATGAAGGAGGGTTATTTGTTAGAGCTTAAGGCTAAATACGGCCTTCCCGATCACGTCGAGTTGATTCCTACCGGGTGGGATGCGGTTCAGGACCATCATTCTGGGTATTGCGCATTCTATGCCTACCCCTTTTACGTCGGCTACACTCTTCCTCTCCTTCCGCTAGCGGAGGAATTTTGTCGCTTTTACGGCATTTTCCCGGCTCAGCTCGCGACGTATGTCTACAAGCTCATAAGGATGCTTACCAAGTTTGCGGAGTTAGCTGTTGTCGAGGCCATGCTCCGACATTTGATGCACCTATTGGCCCCCAGCTTTTATAGGGGACGATGTTGAACCTTTGCCACCGATGAGGCAAGCGCCTGGTGGTGAAGATGGACGACAAGGCTAACCGCCAGTTCTGGCTCAACGTTTTCTTTGTTAGAACTGATGAGGTGGTGGCTAACATCGACGGCTTCCCTGAAGCTTGGAATTTAACTCGTAAGCATCTAACTCCCTTGCATGTAGGTAAATGGTTTATTTGGCATAGTCGTGGATTCCTACCTCCTGTTCTTTTCTTATACAGCCAAGACCTCGCCTCCTCCTTTGGTCGAGGACATTTTTGGTTGGGTCGGTCGGCTCCTCCCTCACATGGCATGGATTCGTGTGTGGCGGGGCTTCTTCAATAGGTTTGGGTTGGCTCCCCCCTCTACTGGTAAGTTATTCTCGTCTTTGGCCTCTTAGTTATTTCTCTTTTGTGGTTTACTTTGGCCGACTTTATTTTCCCTTTGTACTCCCCTTAATTTCAGCTAGGGGGTTCTCGAGGAGGGCGAGAGCTCCCGCACCTGCGTTCCATAAAAGGAAAGATGTTGCCTCTTTGGTTCCTGCCCCTTCAATGACCGCGACTGATTCTGCTCACTCCTCTGTCCTGCCCGTTGCTGCACCAGTATCAGTTCCTTCCTTAGCTGTGAAGGCCTCGACCGCAGAGCCTTCAACTTCTCCTTTGTACCTTCTCACAGATGAGGAAGAGGAATCATTGCCAGGTGATGGGGACTTGATGCCTCATAAGAGGAGATCGGTGGACGGCGGCGACGGGTTTACCCGGGCTGTTGGCTCAGTGGAGGTGATTTTACACTGCGTGAGATGGCGAATATTGTCATTGAAGAGGACGTCGGGCCGACTACTGAAATTCTGAGGTCGGTGGAGGCCGACGAGGGTGTGTCTCTCCCTTCTGTGATGACGGAGGCCGAAGGGCCTGCCACTAGGGCTTTTGACACTTTGCGAAAAGAGTAGTTGTCGCCTTTGCGACCAGCCGGTGATACTTCTTTGTCGGCCGATGGGAGAGGCAAATGAGTTGATGAAGAAGGCTATGAGACGGGTTCATACATTAATGCCGGTGACCTGAGGATGATGGGGGAAGGGTTTACCCAGCTCGAGGTAGGCTGGAGGGGTCTACGAGGACCATTGTGATCCCCATGGATCGTGATCTGCTGAAGAATACTGAGAACGTAGTTCCTGCCCTCGGCCCTCTTTGCTCCGAAATAGAGGGTGAAACCCTCAAAGAACTGGACGATGTCACCTTGTCGAGGAGCATAGTTGGCCTTGCTCTCAGGGTGAATATTTCAGGGCTTCGTCCTTATGTTTTTTTGTGTTTAGTGTTTTGTCTTTGTCAACAGAGGCGTTTTCATTTTTGCCTTCCTTCATTTTCTTTTTGTGACTGCAGACCATGATTTTGGAGATTGAAAGTGCCCAAAGGGAGGAAAAGCGTAGGGAAATATTTGAGAGGTTGAAAAAAAAAATATTTCGTGTACCGTGGCAAGTACCGGGAGTTTCGCAGGCAGTTTGGTAAGGGTGGCAAATTGCAGGCACTTCGTGATGAATTGAAGGAGAAGGATGATGAGCTGGTGAGATTCATTGAGGGGATGTTAGGGAGTAGGGAAGAATATCTTGAGGTTACCAGAGTCGTAGAGGCTTAATGTGGCGATCTTCAAGTACAGGTTGTCGAGCCGTGCAAGCAATTGCAGGAATGCCAGCTCCAAATGGAGGTCCTTAATGGAGAAGTCGCTGAGAAAGTAGAAGAGTTGGAGAAGGCTGAGGTGGCGCGGTCAGAGGCTCTGAATAAAGCAGAGTCCCTTGAGGTGGTGATTTGAACTCTTCGCTTTGAGCGGGAGAATGACTTAGCAATGGCCAGGCTCAAGGAATAACGGCTTGATAAAAGGATCGAGGAGCTGGAAAGAGAGGCCTCTGTTCTCCATGATCGAGTGCTTGCCTTGGAGGCCGAAAAGGCCTAATTACTGGCACACCCGTCCTCTTCCCGTACTTCAGACTTTCCCAGTGTTCCTCGGGACTTATATGAGGAGTGGATTCATGCCGAGTCCCAGTTAGATATATTTTGAGATCTACATGCGGTGGGGTCCGTTTCTGATGAAGCCCTTGAAGGCGTTCGTGTGAAGGCCCGCGAAGCCCGACTTGCTTGTGGGTATAATCCTGCTACACCTGAGGCCGGTGATGATGAAGGTGTGGATTGACTTAAGGAGGCTGCATGGTACGATACCGCATACTCGGAGGGAGAAGGCGACGGTGGCAAGGGTACTGGCATCCAAGGCGGTGACGGAGCAGAGGATCGTGATGGTGGTGCTCAGTAGTCTTTTCTTCTTCTTTTTTTTGTAAACTTTTATGTATTTTTGGCTGCGTCTTCATGAGCCTTTGTAAAAAATATTTTAAGTATGAAATGTCAAATTTTCTCTCTCGAACATAACCTGTATTTAATTATAACCGAGGGTCGGCAGGTGTTAGTTTGAACAAGGTCAAACATAACCTGAATTTAATTATGGTCGAGGGAGGACATGTGTTAGTTCGAACGAGGTTGAGCATAACCTATATTTAATTATGGTCGAGGGCCGGTATGTGTTAGTTCGAACAAGGTCGAACATAACCTATATTTAATTATGGTCGAGGGCCGGTATGTGTTAGTTCGAACAAGGTCGAACATAACCTATATTTA